ATCAGTTTTTCGGGTTTAAAGGAAAATAAATGAAAAAATTTTGCACCGATAATATTATTCAAAAATTCTGTGCAGTCGGTGATCATCGAGGATGTGGACTAGTCGAACGAACGATACAAACTATTAAACGAAGATTGGGAGTAATGCTACTCGAAGAAAAAGTACAATCTATTAAACTGTGCTTGAGCACAATAATTAGGGACCTAAGATGGAATAAACAGAAAACAATAAAGTTGTCTCTGTTTGAAGCGCACTTTGGTCGATTACCAAAAACTGAGTTTAAAATTGTAAGGGATAAATTTCTGAAGGAATCTGATCGTTTAGATGAAGAACATTTGGAGAGATCGGCGTTAACAGCATCGCAGTTGAAGAGACGCATCGATCAATCCAGGGACAATGTAAAAATTCCACGAAAAGGACAGAATAGCCGGGACGTCAGCCCACTGTTTCTACGCAACACTGCGGCGGCCAAAGAAAGAGTTAGGGCAAAGGAACTAAAGCAGCTACTAGAGGCCAATGCGAGATGGAATGTCACCAGACGGGATATCTCAGATAGCGAGCTACGACGAATTGTAGACGAAACGAGCACAATAAATCCCGAACTGAGAAAGGAACTCCTATATTCATGGGAAAGAGGATTTATCGAAGACAAACAGACTACATCGGATGATAGCTTGCCAGGAAGCTTCCTCCGCAAACATGAGCAAAGGAAAAGTGGAAAGGCTCTAACAATACCGCTGAAAGGCAAAATAGTGGCAGAGACACCATCAACAATCAAAACGGCTGCTGGTGCAGTATATCGAAAGAGCGATATAGCGAGATCAAAACTGCAAACACAGCCCAAAGCACGGAGTTCGGAGAAAAAGAGGAGCCCAACGGGGGAAGAACCTAGGAGCAAACAACAGAAGACAGTATCATATCATAAAGACTTAGACAGTGAGTCGGCTGAAGAACATGATGCGAAAGACCAGGGGCCAACCGATCAGGATATAGAAGACAATCGACTAATGGACAAGTTTCAAAACTCGCCAAACGTAGTTACGTCGAAAGAAACAAAGACGGGCGGGGGCCTAAATCTAGGAGGAAAAAGGGTTAAGCCAAATAGGGCAGGACCACTAGTCCAAAGTGCAAGAGCTGCAAAGGCCAAGACGCAAGAGCCACGTACAACGAAAACTGTTAAAACAGCAAAAGAATCAAAGAAGCGGGATACGAGCAATGAAGCCGTCTACATAGAGTCGTCTGCACCGAAAGAAGCCCCAGTGAGTAAAAGGATCACACGGCAAACTAGCGAAAAGGAAATTCTGGACACATTCCAGAATAACAAAATGACAACAAAAGAATGGGAAGAAATCACAAACCAGGTTTTGACCCGAGGGGTACAAAACGAAGCAGAAAAACTACTGACTCAAATAGCGGAATCAGTCGACAATAGCCCGGCAGTATTTGCGGACGAGTCGGACAAAGAAGAGGATACAAGGACAGTCAGACGAAGCAGTCGACAAACAAAGAACCAGGGACCAAAGAGATACGGCAGCCCCGTATCACACTCTGTAAAGTTGATTAGTTGTGAGGACGATATGACAGAGCTAAATTTGGCAGCACTTGAGGCCTACAGATTGAGACTGGCAAAGTTTAACATCAATAACAAAGAAACAACATTGGAGAACAACACGTGTGACCTACTAACTAGAGAGACATCTGTTCAAAAGGAAATTCGGAGCTACATCGTTGGATGAGTCGGGATCGTGGAACGCTGCAAGAAACAAAGCGGAAGTGATGAAGAAAACAACCAAGGAAAACTAAGCTAAAATGAAAACAATTCAGTAAACTGAGACTTATATACTATTTATAAAATTTTATAAGGTATTATATAAAATTTTGTTGTCCTCAGGGGAATGTGGTACCGTGTAGTACTGTTGCCACAGTAACCTTGGAGAAAGTGTTATTAATATTCTGTTATGTATTGTTAGTATTATTCAAGGCCATCCATGCAGGCCAAACGTAACAGTCATTTGGACGGTTGCGATCTTAGAAGACACATGAACGTGATCTCTAACAAAACCAAGTAAATCAAAAGACAAAATTAAATGTTTTCAATTATTCTCTTTTGTTCTTACCTACTCGTAGCATAACATTATCACAGCCTGTAACTAAAACTCAAACAAATCACGAATTTCGCCGGTGTTAATTACTAACAGCTTTTGAGTAGTTAGATCCATCTATTTGAGGAGCTAAATTCTGGCATTATTTTTCTGATCAAGCGAAAGCAACCTGACGGCTATATTTTCATGTGTGGGACCCAAAATGAAAAACTTGTTCGAAAAAGCCTGTCGAATGTACAAAACTGCGCTGCAACGGTACAGCCAAACGCAAAATTTGTTGTCTTTGTATTTTAATTCGGAAAAACTTCACAATATTTTTCTGGGCATGAATAATCAAACAATTAAGGATTTGTCCATGGTACTCAAAACTGCTCACTTTAAAAGCTAGATGACCACAACTCGCATTTTTACAACCTTTGATGTTCCTCTGTTAACACATCAAGATGAACACAGTAAACTGACACAGGCCGAAAACAAAACTGTTACTTTGAATTTGAGAGGCCATTAAAGTTTATTTTTTATTATTTACTTCCAGAAAACATTTTTGTTTAAGAAAAGATTGGTTTGTTTTGCTTTTTTAACTTTAAAAACTCACACAGAGGCGAAGCTGTGCTTCGCAGACACTAGTGAGAACATGACGAAAAAGCAGCTCTATAAAATGAAAGAAAATCATAATTTGCCACGAATTAGTGAAAAATCGGCAACGTGGCGGATTCGACCCTGGGACAATTATGAGTTTCACGCACCAACCACGGAGGCTTGACTATTCACAACACTAGTCACAAAAAAGCAGAGAACAGATGCTCTGAAATTTCCAATACTACAGGTTGTGATTGTTGCAAAAGTGACACCAAATGAGCACTTTTATAAGCGAGTTAGTACGGAAAGGAAAGAGTGTTTGTACTAGCGAGAACATGACGAAAAAGCAGCTCTATAAAATGAAAGAAAATCATAATTTGCCACGAACTAGTGAAAAATCGGCAACGTGGCGGATTCGACCCTGGGACAATTATGAGTTTCACGCACCAACCACGGAGGCTTGACTATTCACAACACTAGTCACAAAAAAGCAGAGAACAGATGCTCTGAAATTTCCAATACTACAGGTTGTGATTGTTGCAAAAGTGACACCAAATGAGCACTTTTATAAGCGAGTTAGTACGGAAAGGAAAGAGTGTTTGTACTAATACAACATGGTCAAAAACGTTTGATAGAAGCTCAATTTCAAATAAAATTCTTCATGTAATGATTTATTAGATATCACTGTCCTTCCATTTTCCATGTTGCCTCAAGTAACTAATAAGAATTTCTTTGGTAATTTGAGAAAATCATTTAAATAGTTGTGAGAAAAGGATCATTAGGACAAGATGTGGCTCCACATGCAATTTTTTAATACAAATTTTAACTTTAAACCTTGAATCCCTCACTTAATTTGAAAATAAAGGGAATTTTAAGAAGCGAACTCCAAAACAGAAAATTGACATGGTAAATTTGACCGTGCACAAAGCAATGATGCAAAAACCAACACACACGAGACGGCGAATACCTCACAGGTCTTTTGCATTGTAAGTGAATTTAGCCACACTTTCAAAACTCCTAAAAATGGCGTACATATAGTATAAATCAACGGCAGGAAAAACTGATTAGTTCTTTCAGAAAAAAACGTCGACTTTCAAATTTCAAGTACATACTTGTATGCCTCATGGCAGTCGAACTTATGATTGCCAAATTTTGATAAAATTTACCATATTTATAAAAAGACTGTAACAACAGGTAACTGTATTCAGCTGGTATATCTGAAAGTAAAATCCACTTTCGAAGTCCGTTATGTTTTTCCGAACTTCACACTTTTGCTGTTAGGTAGTGAATTTTTCCTTCCTAGTAACAAAAAATGATCTGATCTCAAAGAGAAATCGAAAGTCAAATCGCGATTGATCAAATTTGAGTGTAAAAATAGAAATTTCCTGAAAACTGATTCGCACTAAACAAGTGCCCTTGACTTCATTGAATTACACTCAAGCAGACAGCAGACACTTAAGCGCCCATTTCTGGAGTCTCCCCTCATGACAATAGTGACAAAAGGCAATGGCGAAATATTGATTCCATGGTCAATGGAACTGTTTCTTACCTTAAAAGAACTAAAATGAACATTCTATTCACCCGAAAAATCTTGGGTGAGCCAAAGGTTTCCAGATGAAACACTTGGCACATGTGAACAATTTCCATTTAAATGTACTATGTGAAAAATCTCCCAATAAAATTGAGCGCAAAATGTAACCAATAAAGCCAGCATGCCAAATGCTGATTTCTGAAAAAGACTGCTTTCAACCAAGTGAACAATCTCACACTACATTTATTCAAGTGAGAGTTTTTTTGCTCGATCCAAAATAATTTATTCTTCTCCTTCGGATAAATCTGAAATCACCAACAGACAGATGAAGAAGAATCAATGAGCGCAATTGGATTATTAGGTAAAGTTTTTATTCCGCTGGGAAATCTGAAACCTAAATTCCACTTTCGAAACTAGAAATCAATCCCGTTTTTCGTTACCTTTACACTTTTGCTGTTAGATAATGGAGTTTGCCTTCCTTTTAACTAAAGAAATGAATTGAACTTAAAGAAATCAACCTTCGAACCGCAAAAAAAGAGTAATTTTTAGCCTGTACAATATTTCAAAATTTTCTTAAAAAGAAAAAATCATCGCGACCTGTATCAAGTCTTAACTGAAGAAAACTAAAGCGCTCATTTCTTTACGCGATGATTTTTTCTTTTTAAGAAAATTCTGAAATATTGTTCAGGCTCAAAATTACCTTTTCGCGGTTCGAAGATTGCTTTCTTCAAGATCAATTCATTTCTTTAGTTAAACCTTAACTACGTTAATCGGCTCTTAATCACTGTACAATTATATTTAATTAATTAACGAAATCTGATCAATGTTGGAGACCAAGAATACCAGGTCTTAACTACGTTTATCGACTCTTAATCACTATACAATTATATTTAATTAAATTAATTGAAATCTGATCAATGTTGGAGACCAAGAATACCAGGATGACTACGATTGTCGAATAATTCATCTACTGTCGAATTAGTTGACTGATGAATAAACTAATTTGGGATTGAAACGGTGATCATCGAGTTTGTCGAGTTAACGTTTTGAGGATAATTTCTCATCTCTTCCACTTGATAGATCGATCTTCCAGGGCCCTCACTGCCTCTCTCATCTCCTTCGATCCAGGGGCGAGACGTGATGAGATCGCTTCCAGACTCAACTTGTCTCTGTTTTCAATGTGGGTCATCACTGCTGCCAGTTTGCAGTCCAGAATACCTGCCTGGGTCAGTCTGGCATGCTGGTCTTTGATGCACATCAGATACTTACTCACTATGTCCGAAGGTGCCTGGCTCTCTGCTAGTAGTTGAGCCATGTTGTCGAAGCCTATTGCACAGTACGACCCCTTTCCAAGGCCACCACTCAGTTGCTGAAATTAACCCAAATAAATCATAATAGTACACAATTCGTATTTCAAGAACAAAAAACCACTTAAATTGAAAACCGAAGCTGACAAAAATCTAACGTTAGCACTTGTGAATAAATTAGCTTCAGTCATAGCAGGTTGTGTTTCGGTTTGATTCATGGCTCCATTGAACCTAACCTTCTAGAAAATTAAGAAATTACTTATCGTGAAAAGTAAGAACAGAAATTAGTTTTCAAACAATTGGTCCCCGAAGCATAGAAAAGCCAGAATTTCTCACCATTAGATAAATAAAGCCAGTATTCTCCAGCTGAAAACAGACCTACATTGAATACAAGAGCCCACACTGTGGTCAATATAAGACAACAATGGTCCAAGAGCACAACAAGCCTAAGAGTAGAACAAAATAATATTCGACACAGAGGCGAAGCTGCACTTCGCATACACAAGCAAAAATATAATGATAACGCTACTGGGAAAAAAACGAATGAGAAAAACTTTGGTTCTACAAAATTTCTTAGGTGACGCACACCAATTATGAGTCTACATAATTGCTGACTGACGCAAGCCAATTATAACGGATTAGCAGTACCAGTCAATTTGGAAAAAAAAACGAAATCTACCAACTGACATGCCTCAATTTATAGAGCAGACGCATTTAAACTAGTATACGAAAAATTCATTAAAAACATCCGACCCTGCCCAGGTTCGAACCCTCTTATTTTGTTGCGGGTCTTCTTCCCTATCTCTACGCTACAGATCCATGATAACTTGAAGCTTAAGTGCTACTTGAGGCCCAGCTAAGACCGGAAGTACCGGTTTGATATATTTTTTGAGTTGTTGTTTTGATGCGGGATGCAGTAGTTATTTAAAAACATTTAAGCATTGGGCTTCACCCAAAACCTTGTTTGTTGCTCTATTAAGAAATGAGTGAAAAAAAACGCAATTTTGGAACTTTCCAGAAACATGTCATTTTTTAAAAATGTTTCGGGTTCGAAGTTTAATGCTTAGCAGTTTATACACGGAGGCTTCTTACAACCTGTTGCCTTGATTAAACCTTTGATATCAGATTGAGTTGTTTTCGAGAAGTCAAAAGTTTGACAAAACGGACAAGAAATTAAACGTTGACTTTTATGAAGGCCATAACTTTTTTCGTGCTATAAAAATTGACCGAGAGCGCTTACACAGACGAGCTTCGCTCAACCCTTTCTTTCTTCAATAAACCTAAAATTTCAGGTTTGAGATGGTAGTTTTCAAGACAATTGAAGAAAAACTGCTAAAAACGAGGTTCATAAGTATTTGTGCACAAAAACTGGTTATAAACGTTTATGAAGTGGAGCTTCCCACAACCCGTTCCTCAAACTGAAACCAATATCTCAGATTCGGGAGGGTAGTTTCTGAAAAACGACGAATTTTTGACTGTTTAGTTGAAACTTTTTGTCGTTTTTCAGAAACTACCCTCCCGAATCTGAGATATTGGTTTCAGTTTGAGGAACGGGTTGTGGGAAGCTCCACTTCATAAACGGTTATGTCCAGTTTTTGTGCAGAAATACTTATGAACCTCGACTTTTCCGAGGGTCATAAACTTTTTAACCTGTTCTACCCAATAAACTTACAACAACCTGTTCTACCCAATGAACTCGAAATCGCAGATTTGCGTGGCTAGTTTTCGAGAAAATGTACAAAATTCAAAAACTTGGGTCAAAAATTCCCCCACACACTTTCTCGAAGGCTGTAGAAAATGGGTTAAGGTAGACAAAAAAAAGGATAGGGAAGTAATCAAGCACACAGGGGAGTGGCCGGCCTTCCCATTAAAACCACAATTTTGAAAATCGGTAGTAGTTTTTGAGAACAACGAAAATTTTCATAAGCGTCTCAAAAAGTAAATAATAATACAAAAAAACACATTTTCATCAGACCTGTTTTTATCAAAAAGGAGCTAGAGGCCAGCTTAAGCTTGAAATACCTGTTTGATAATTTATGAAATTTTTGTATTGATGCGGAAGGACAAGGGTAAATTCCCTACAGACCTACAGCATAGAAAAGTAAATCCCAATTTAATGAATTCAAAATCTGTTATTTCATCAATTACTTAAGTGTTCTTCGAAAATGAAGTGATAAAAAGAGGTTGAAAGATGCTTAAAACGTTGCTCATTAGATTTGCGTGGGTAGTTTTCGAGAAAGAGAAGTTAAAAAGTTCTCGGAGCGTGATAACTTTTGGTGAAAAAAATTTAGGCGTAATATTTTATGCAGCGGTGCTTTCCACAACCCACTCTACTCATTGAAACCAAAACCTTAGATTTGAGAAAAATCGAAAAATTTCAAAAAACGGTAAAAAAAAATCGTGAATTCTACTTTTCTGAGGATCATAGCTTTTTGTCTGACAAAATTTGAGCGTAACCGCTATTGCAGGGGAGCTCCCTACAATCCGTCCTTTCGACTGAAACTAAAATACCAGATTTGGGAGGGTAGTTTTCCAGAAAACTTTCAGAAAATGGTCAAAAAATCGAGAAGTTAACTATTTTGAGTGCCATAATTTTTTGTGAAAAAAAAATTTGGGCGTAGCCTCTTATGCAGGAGAGCTTCCAACAACCTTTTCTAACCATTGAACCCAAAATCGCAGATTTGCGTGAGTAGTTTTTGAGAAAATGTATAAAATCTGAAAATTGGGGTAAAAAATTCACCCCACACATCTTTTGAAGGCTGTAGAAAGTGGGGTAAGGCAAAAGCAGAGGATAGGGGAGTATAAAGGCACACAGGGGAGTGACCGGGATTTCCATTCGTACCACTCTTTTCAAAATCGGCTGAGTAGTTTTTGAGAAAAACGAAAATTTTCCCAAGCGTCTCAAAAAAAACCCGATCCCATACGCTTTCAAAGTACCAGTTTTTATCAAACAGGAAATTGTAATATAATAGTATGTGTCTATAATCTTAGCATTGGCTGTATTTAATAGCTGGTTATTGATCAAAATGAACACTTTCTATTGAGCAACGCAACAATATTTGCGACTTAGGTTGGGAAAAAAAGGTGAGTTCAATCTATAACAAGCTATGCTTGTGTAAAAAAAAAATGAACTCAAACAATTCACACATTCCAACGGCGCTATTGGTAACATAATTGGCGCAATTATAAGATTCATCTATTAGAAGAACAAAATTTCGATATTGTTTTTAGACTAATCTGTAACAACCAATGGACCATGCCAAAGCGTGTAGGGGACGCAATATAAAATATTCTACAGAACTAGTATCAATGACAAACACTTGAATAGCGGGGTAAAAAATGGTCTGCTATTTGTAGCTTTGGTTAATTAGTTTTTCTGCTATTGGACTATTTTTGCTCAAAGCATCCCTCCGGCCTTAGCAAATTGAAGATAACAAACGGTAAAACAAAGTCAACTGATTAAAAAGTGATAATGAACTCAATGAGACCGAGCAGTAAGCTGTTCGATCCGTTTCGCAAACCATATTTTTCACAGTAGATAAAAAAAATGACAACCAAACCAAAACTGGCTTATCATTACATAGATTGGGTCTTATGCACTTAACGGCCCAAGATAAAAATTTCGATATCTTGAGCTATAAATTATTCAGTCGAATCTGATTGGCCCCATCAAACTCAAGCAACACAGTCATGCGTTTCAGTCAACATTTCCAGCAGATAAAAACATAAGCCGAAATTTAAAAATGTGGAGCTTAGTCAACTAATAAAACTAATTGCAAGTCAATTGTGAAACTTAGACCAGACAAGAAAAATTTTGTGAAATGGCTTCAACAGAACAAAAAAAATTACGTTTTGGTCATTTCGGCTAACAATCTTAACTGCTTGAAATGTATTTGAAATACCGTACAACGTTGTTGAATTAGCCAATCAGATCCAACCACGTAAATTTTAGTTCAAGATAGAGAGAAACTAATTTTACCCGTTTAGTGCATAAGACCCAATAGATCAATCATTTATCAAAGTTTTTTGCACTCATTGCAAAAAAAAGAACAAACCAGCACTGTACTGCGTAAGCAAACATAGCTATCGGACTGTTGGAAAATACTCAATGAACGCAAAGAAATAAAAAATACCAACTGGTTTTTTGAAAAAATTTCATTTTTTGATTTTCACTAAAGAAAACTTATTTGGCCTAAAGCTCTTTCAATTTCAAGAACAATTTATCATTTCAAATTGCGTGATAAAACGAAGCTAACTTGAAAAAAAAAAACTGAATCAATAGGTACTTTTTTATTCCGCTGGGAAACCTGAAAAGCAAAATCCGCTTTGGAAAGTAGAAATCAATCCCGTTTTTCGTGACGTTTACACTTTTGCTGTTCGATAGTGGTTTGCATTCCTTTTAACAAAAGAAATGAACTGAACTTAAAAACAAATCAAAAGTAGAAACCTCGAAACATGAAGCTTTTTTTAATCTTTTTTAGGCCGACCAATTTGATTTTGTGAGCACCCCCAGAACACTAAAAAAACCTAGTTTGGCCAAACACTTTGCTCCACAGGAAAATTTTGACACAGAAGCGAAGCTGTGCTTCGCTAACACACGGCCAAAAAACAGCTATCAAACGAATTAAGAAAAAGTAGAAATAGGCCTCGAATTAGCAAAAAACGCGGCTACGTGTCGGATTCGAATCTTCGACCTAGCAAACTTGGGTCTCACGCACGCACTACACTCAGCCACGGATGCTTAAAATCCCTAAAAATTAGCCACCAATAACGCCAATTTGCATGTAATAAAATTGCAGAGCACAAAGCCAAACTATGCATAAATTATGCATTAGAAAAAATTGCAAGATAGATTGAGTTGGAATAGTTCAGAAATCGAGCTTTTTATCATTGTACTGCTGTTTGAAACAAATAAATTTTTTCAGTTCATTTGATGAATTAAAAATGCATCAGCTGTGTTAACTTTTTACTAATCAAATGTCAAAGCACATATGATATTAATACTACTACCGCAGCCTACCGACTCAAAAGTGTCATCAAAAAGACTTTTATTTGGGACTTAGGTTGGAAAAAAAGTTCGTACTAATACACTTTGCTTCACAAGTGTAAAAAATAAACAGGTCAAAAAAAGCCTGGCGGTTTTTGGCGCGCGCTCCCCTTCAAAATTAGTATATATTGGCGCCCAAGACGCCTACAATGAATGTCATAAAATCATACAAAAGGGGGGACCCATTGGTTGTTGAGGGGGTCGAAATCCGCCCCTGATTCTAAAATATGCTTTTGAAAAATATTCAGCTCAAAAAATACTCTGCTTTTTGGGGAAAAACATGACGTCTAAAACAATTGATCAATCAACCTACCCCAGTTGCACCTCCTGTGACTCCGCCCATGAATGAGGATGCGGCGGAGGAGAGGAATCCCTTGGTGACCATGAGTTGCTCAATCTTGTCCCACTGTCTTCTACTGGCCAGCACTCTCACAACTGGCCACTGGAACTCCATCTCTGTCAGCTTGAATCTACTCTTGTACACAGAGGAGTCCAGAACCACATCTGAACACATAACTTGACAAATTGCAACCTGATTAATATTTTTGCACACTTGGTTGTTAATGCAGGAGATGGCCAGAAGAACGAATAACAAAAGCTAGTTTTTTCTCACTAGCACCTTCAAAAATGCTTTGCTTTCGAATAAAATCAAATGAGTTACAAAAAAGATATTTACGAACATATAATATTAACATGAAGGTTTCACTATCGATTAGATATCAAAATCAACAATTTAGGAGAAAGAAAAGCGTCACTAACTGGAAACCAAGAATTTTACCTAATTGTAAGATTCAGAGCATAACTAACATGGCTGCTGCCATGTACTACTACATTTTCCAAATGCGAGAAAAGAAGACTCGTGTGAAGTTACAGCAATGGTCATATTTGCACTTACCATTTGAATTACTGCCAGTAGAAGTCTGCACTGAGTGTCTCACATTGGGGTGGTAGAACTCACAGTGGTGAATGGTGGACAACAGCGACTCTCCCGTTACTGGTCTCTGTGGAGGCTGTGCAGCTAAGATCTGGTTCGTTTTCTTCTTCACCATTCCCTCGTTTATCTGTTGCATTTTGATCTGTGACTCGGTTAGCATGATCTGCTCAGATAGCATTTCCAACTCGAATGCAGTTACTCCTCCTATTTTTAGTTTGTTCTCCACGTCTCGAGAACAGATTCGACTCTTTATGGTCTGTAAAGCCCACAGTTTTGTCTCAGGCACAGATTCACTAACACATCAAATTGTTATTAGTAGTTTAACTCAACTGCTGCATGTAAAAATTAAGTAGATGTTTACCATCCACAGCAAACATGATATAATGCTTGGGTAAAATTATCGTGCCATTCAAGTGCCAAATTCAGTTTAAGTTAGAGCTATGTTTACTTGTTGGCCTTTTTGAGCAGGAGGTAAAACATGTCTCGCTGTCTGTCCATGATCTTGTAGATCTTCTCCAGATTCACATAGTCGTTCATCGATTTGAAGTACGATACTGAAAAACAGCCCATGTTTCACAGCGGCCATCTAAGTTTGATTAACTACTGCTGATAAATCATTGACTAAATTCTAGCGATGAAGGATACCTTTTAAACAATTTAAAACGTTTAACGTTGATTTTTTAAATGAATTTTTTTTCTCTGGGTTCAACATGAACTATGACGAACCCAGATGCTGAACTGCATCGGGGTGGTTAATCATGATCTCCTTGAAGATGTCGTCACTCAGAGTCCTGTAGAGGAAGAGAGACACTCTGGTGATGCAGAGTCCATTCAGGGACTGACAAGCACGCTCTAGTAGGGCTCTTTTCTGCCTCTCACTGCGAAACACTTCCAAAACAGCCTCCTCTCCCCGCTTCCCACCCGAAGTGAGTTTGCCGATGACCTGTCAAAAACACAAAATTTCAGATAAATAATAAGAAAAGTGCTACAGACGTATATGAACAAAATATACACGAAAACATTATGCACTCTAGCTGGTTACATTAAATTCTCATAAACTAAAATATCAACTAGTAAAAACAGGGGCGGATTTAGGTTTTTCTCGAAGGGGGGGGGGCGGATTTTCGGACCTTACTTTTTAGGTCGACCAAATTGATTTTTGAGCTCTCCTAGATCACTATAAGCAACCCCCTTTTGACCAAATTTTCTGCGCCGCAGGCAAAATTTCGAAAAAACAGGCCAAAAAGGCGTTTTTTGGTCAAAATTTTTGGAAAATGTTGACCAAAAAATCGCGTTTTTTCGACGCGCGCCCCAACTCAAAATTAGTATATATTGGCGCCAAATTTGCCTTTAAAAGAAATTTAGGGTCCGTCACCAAAAAAGAAAAATGGATATCTCAAAATCAGGGGCGGATCTTGGATTTTCTCGAGTGGGGGGCGGATTTTAAAAAAATTACGAACATTTTGTCGACCGTTTTTTCGGTCGACCAAATTGATTTTTCAAGCTTTCCAAAAGCACTAAAAAGTCTGCCAAAAAAAAAACGTTTTAGACACTTTTTGGAAAAATTTGACCAAAAAAACGCGTTTTTTCGTAGCGCGCTCCCCCCTCAAAATTAGTAAATATTGGCGCCAAAGGCACCTTCAGAAAATTTTTAGGGTTCGTCACCAAAAACATATATTTCAAAATAGTACAAAGGGGTCCCTTTGGGTCGGCAGGGGCCCCTCCCTAAATCGCCCCTGCTCAAAACAGTACAAAGGAACTTTAGGATTTTTACCACTATCGCCAATGTGGACTATTCTTGTTTTTACTAAGAGTAAATGATCGTAGTGAAGATTTTTATATAGGTCCTGATGATATTTTTTTCAGAAAAAGTCTTAAAATTTGTTCGCTCAAATTCAGGTGATTTTTTTAAATTCAGGTGATTTTTTTAACTCAGGTGATTTCTTTTGTTAAAAGAAAGGCAATTTTATCTATCGAACAAGAAAAGTGTTAAAAGCACAAAGAACGTGATCGATTTCTAATTAAGAAAGTGGACTTTAATTTTCTGAGTTGCCAGCGGAATAAAACTTCACCAATTGGTCCAGTTTTGTCATATTGATTTAATGTTATCCAGAAAGTGACCAAAACATGTTTTTGAAATTCAAAGAGCTGTAGGGCGGTTTAATGCTAGCTACCGGGGCGGATATAGGGCTTTCTCAGGGGGTGTGGGGTGCGGGTATTTGAAAATAGTACAAAGAGGGGATCTTTTGGGTCGGCAGGGGGTCGATTAACTGAGGGAGGGGGGGGGGGCGTCCGCTTTCCACCTAAGTCCGCCCCTGCTCAAAATAGTATAAAAGGGGACCCTTTGCATCGGCAGGGGGCCAAATTCCTGAGGGGGGGGGGGAGCATCCGCCTCCCCCCCTCTAAATCCGCTGGTTAGTAAAAATGTATGTTGCAACTTTAGTACCTCGTCAGGCGAAAAGGTGACTTTGGGAAGTGGCGATGCAGCAATGTAACTCCTGACGTACATCTGCAGCAGCCTCTCGCACCTCTCCAACTCCAGTGCCTTCTGGTCGCCTGACTTGGTGGCCACCGCCTTCCGCACAGCCGAAGTGTACTCAGCTGCGAGACTCCTGGGAACTACTAGTCGTACTTGAGGTCTCTTTGAGGGCGTTGAGCTGGCAGACATTGATTGGCTGGTTGTTGGCTGTGTAGGCATGTATTAAGTTAAACTTAGATGTATCTTCAAAAAAGGACGGAGCAATGCCAAGTTTTGAAATTCCACTTTACTGCAAAATCTGAGAGAAAAAAACATCCGAAAAATGCATTTTCAAGGAGTAGCATAACTTTCTTTCCATGAAGCACTGATGTTCAACGAAATCAAAATTCAGACAACCAGCAAATAAACTTGAATATACAAGAGTTTTAATGAAGCTAAAAAAACCAAAAAAAAAAATTAAACAAGAATAGCCAGTTGCTGTTCAAGTAACATAGAAATTCCGACCACAAGAAAAAAAGCCAATCGAAGATTGGAAAAGAGCAATGAACGCAAGTAACTATAAAAAAACACTGACTTTCTTGAAAAATCTCAACTTTCGAATTTCGAAGAAAAATTAGATGCCCTTTAAGTCCTTTGAATTTCTGAAACAATTTATGATTGGCGCTTTTTTGATAACATGAACCCAACTTGAGAAAATTGATCAATAGATAAAGTTTTTATTCCGCTGGGAAGTCTTAAAAATGAATCCCACTGTCGAAACTTAAATTAGTTCGTTTTTTTTTGCGCTATTTCCACGTTCGTATTTGGAGAGTGCTTTTTACGTCACTTTCATCAGATGAACTTCAATTGAACTCAAACATAGCCAATCCAAGATTGGAGAAGAGCAATGAACGCAAGTAAATTTTTAAAAAACACTGACTTTTTTGAAAAATCTCAACTTTCGAATTTCAAAGAAAAAAAATAAATGCCCATTAAGCTCTTTGAATTTCTAAACACAATTTATGATTGGCGCATTTTTTTATAACATGAACCCAACTTGAGAAAACTGGATTAATAGGTAAAGTCCTTATTCCGCTGGGAAATATTTTTAAAAAAATTCCACTTACGAAACTAGAAATCTTTCACGTTTTTTCGCACTATTTCCACGTTCGTATTTGGAGAGCGCTATTTACGTCACTTTCAGCAGATGAATTCAATTGAACTCAAAAAGTGCTTTATAAGTAGGTGAATCAATATTTTAAGACTTTTTCCTGAAAAAAAATCAGCAAGACCTATATAAGAGTCTTCACTAAGTTCATACTATTCATAAATAATGAACATAATAAAAAAAATGAATATCACAATAAACATGGCAAAATTTCAAACTGAAAAAAAAAACAATCCTCTCCTTTTCTCTACCTGCAAAATGTAACTGCCACAAAATTTACTAGCGTATAAAGCACCTCCGGTGCTTACGAATTAGTAAACGTCAAATTTGTTTACATAAAGTATATGGGAACGCAACAATGCAACCATAACAATAGACAAGGGAATTCAAATACTCTTTTGGTTGCAAAATTTGAACGATAAAAATAATTTTAGCTTAATAATAATAAAATAAATGGAAAAACCTCTAAAACTACTGGGTTTCAGGTCTTCGTGTTTTTAGCTCATAAAATTGCCGAAAGCATAAAACTGCACTTTTCATATTGGAAAAAACTTTGGAACAATTTCATTTGCAAAATTTTCAAACTCATAATTGCGATTCATAATCCAGCGTAACTAATTTTAAAATACCTTTTTCTTAATTTAATTGTAAATTGATATCACTCAAACCGCCATTTTCAAAAATTTGACCCAAAATAATAGGATGGGAGGCCAGATCTGCATCCGCTGATAATAACCTGACATCACCCCTTACTAAAGACGACAATTTCAAATTTTGAATTTTTTTTTGAAAACTTACCACTTTTCAAAAACTTCAAAGCGTAAAATCGTCCTATTTAAGAAAACTAAAGGCGTTGAGCAGTCATATTTAGACTCCTGATAAAAACCTAGGAGTACGTAAGAGCATCCCACCATAATGAGTTTTTTTAGATCTTAAGTTTTATGAGAATTTTTGAAAAACCATAAAAAACGGCATATCTCAGGAATTAAGATTATTTGAGCAATTAAACTTGGAGGCGAGATCATCTGCAAACTCTGAGACTACACTGGGAACTCCCCGCAACGAGATTGGGAACTTCAAATTTTGAAAAATATTGAAAGAAAATAACATCATATCTCGAAAACCAAAAGCAGTTGAGCAGTCACCTTTGAGGCAAGATTCGCAAATCCTGAGAAAATCTTGACAGGACCTGAATACATGGTAGCAGTTTCAATCTTTGTGGAAATTTTAGCATCAAAATTTTCAGAAAATGTCTGAAAAAAATTCAAAAAAAACGTCAAATCTCGGAAAGTAAACGGATTTGAGCAGTCATATTTTGAGGCAATATTTGCAACCCCTGAGAGTTTCCTGACAGGGCCCAACCTCAGAACCTCAGTTTTGAGAATTTAATATTTTTAGCAACTTTGTAAATCTAAATTTTATGAAAACTTTCGAAAAAAATTACATGAATCAATGTATCGCGCAACTAAAAAGATCTGGGTATTCACATTTGGAGGCCCAATTCTCAAACCCTGGGGAACCCTGACAGCGTGCAACTTTCAAACTTGGGGAACTAAACACCGAATTTAGAATAGAAAATCGAAAAAACTTCTGAAGCATTGCAATATACGATATTGTTTGAACGTGCAAAAATTCTTTCGTTAAACATGCAAAAATAGTATGTTGTGAGGCTTAAGCATGGCGAGATAAAAAAAGCCAGCAAGTAAATATATAATATATAGGTTCATAATTTCTGAGTTCTATAAAAATGACATGCTAATTAATTAGTCTATTCGACACATTCAATTTAAATACTGCAATTTGTAAAACAACTTGGTACACCAAAAACCCTGATGCGCCATTTTTCTCGTTTTTGCGCCATTCCCACTTCTGTTATCAGAGAGCTCATTTACCTTCCCTGTAACAAATTCATTTGAAGTAAATTGAAAATTAACTTAAGTAAATAAAAAAGCAAGGCCTAAATAAGTGTCTTTACCTCGTTTATTGACACTCAAAAAACTGTTTTGCCGATAAATTTTAGCACTACTGAGTTCAACCATGCCATCATAGTATAGATGGTTACGCATATTAACGAAACTTAGAAACCATTGACTTACAGCAAGTGTTGAGTTCAAAGTGGTTGATGCAACTGGCATGGATCTGGGTAGTGAGTAAGACTCAGATTCAACTCTATTTAAACCACTTTTGACATTTTTCGGCTCTAGATAAGCAGATCCTTTCAGTGTGATCAATTCCGCCCCTGATTCTGTGTCGAACTCGGAGAATACTTCTGATCCAAGGTTGGCAAAATAATTTTTTATTTAGTAAAAAACGATAATCGAAGAAATTTTCAAAACACCAATTTGTGACACTTTCCAATATTTTAATCGAGCTTCAAAACAAAAAAACGGCGGCAAAAAATAAGCAAACATGGGTGAATAAACTTCAATACTTTTTCCTGAAAAAAAAACGTAAACACTTCGTTCACACAGGCGAAGCGGAGCTTCGCACCACTTGCGACACAATACAATCATAAAAAAGCATGCGGCGAAAAAAATGAAAAAAATCTAGGTGAACCAAAATTTTTGTATGTCTCGATGAAATACACCTAGGGCTCAGCTAAGGCTGGAGTAAGTATTTTATAATTTTTGAATTTGTTACACTGATGCGGGACCAAAAGCGAATTTAGAATTTGCCCAAAACCTTACTTGTTTCACAACTTAAGAGTGAAATTTTCCCAAGCTCTTAGCCTTTTTTCTTACAAAAAAAATAAGGAGTAGCCGCTTCTTTCCAGGAAACATTCGCGCAATTGCTTCTTTCAATTAAAATTTCCATCCCAGATTTGGCAGGGCAATTTTTAAGAAAATTCAAAAATTTCTATAAAATAGTCAAAATAGCTAAACGCAGGTCGTGGCCGATAAAGTAGGGAAAAATTTCAAACCCATATTTCTCGATTGAACACTTAACCTGAGAATTGGCAAGTAATTTTTGAGTCAAGTTGAAAAAACTTCCAAAAAACGGTCCAACTTTCATCTAATTAAAGGCCATCATTTTTTTCTAGCAGAAACTTAGCGTAGCAAAATCTAAATTTAAGCTTCCAACAACACTTTGGGTTGATTAAAACTATGATATCGGTTTTGCCAGGATAGTTATCGAGAAAAGACCAAAAAAAAGAAAAAACCAGTCAACAAATCATAGAGCTGACATTTCCGAGAATAATAAATTTTCGTTTTAAATAATTGGGCGTAGCCGCTCATGTAGAACGGTCATTTCGATTGAACCCAAGAAGCTCGATTTGGCCGGGTAGTTCTCGAGAAAATCAAAAAATTTCAAAAAACAGACAAAAAATCGAGACTGACTTTATCGAGCGCCATTATTTGTTTTGTATAACAAATTTGGGCGCAAAAGAGCTTCCCACAACCCATTTTTTGCATTCTTTGGATTGAACCCAAAATCGCAGATATAGAAGAGTATTTTTTTGGTTAAATTCAACAAATTTTGAGAAAAAAAAACGCTCAAAAAATCAAAAATTTGACTAATTCGGGGAGCTTCCCACTACTAATTATCTCATTGAAACCCCAACCTCAGGTTTGGGCGCTTAGTTTTTGAGAAAAATCAGAAGATTTCAAAAACGGTCAAAAAAAATCAAAAACCTGACTACTCCGAGGCCCATAGCTTATGTCCAAAAAAAATTGGGCATAACCGCTCATTGAGGGGAGTTTTCAACACCATTCTATACATTGAAACCTAAATATCATACTTGCTAGGTTAGTTTTTGAGAAAACGAAAAAAATATATCGGAGAAATACTCCCCCCACAGACGTTTCCGAAGGCTGTACACAAAACTGAAAGCAAAAAGGGACCAGGGGAGTATGCAAGCACAGAAAAATGCAGGCAGTCTTTTTATGTAAACCCTTTTTTTGAAATTCAGAAGAAAGTTTTTGGAAAAAATACTTAGTTTTTTCCAAAAAGTATTAAAACTTTCCAAAGGGTCTCAATAAAATGAAAAACCATTACACTTTCATAATACCTGTTTTTATCAAATAGGAATTCTAGGCAAACATGTCAAGCAAGACATTTGAAGTTCAAATTAGCAATTGGACAAAACTTACGAAGCGGAAACAAGGCCGACAATCTTTGAGCAGACACCAGTAGAGCCGAAACTTACTATGTAAAAAAAACTTGAAGAAGTTTCAAGTCCCCCCTGATAAAATATGTCAGCTTCAGGGTTCTTTTTGCACTTTCCGTATTAAACAATTTCAAGGTCAAAATCACTGAAATCAGCATACAGCTGCACTTTCCATATTTTGATTGCTATCATGAATGAAACTCTTTAACTTAGTTCCAGCGTAATTAAATTAAAAACATCAGATTTTTTCTTTGTTTAATTCTTAGTTTAAGGAACAATTTTAAAATATCATGAAAGAACGTCAATTTTAAAAACTTGAAAGATACGAGCAAAAGTAGTAGGATGGAGACCTCAAGTGCAACTGCTGCTAGCAACCTGACTTCACCCCACCAATGCGTCGACAATTTCAAATTTGAATTTTTTTTTGAAATTTAACTTTTGTAAAATCATAAAAACGTCACATTTAGGAGAAAAAAATGCATAGAGCAGTCATATTTCGAGTCCAGATATAAACTTCCTGAAATTACTTTGACAGCACCCCACCTTAAGGTTGGGAACCTTAAACTTGGCTGATCTCGAAAACTAAGATCATTTGAGCAGTCAAACTTGGAGGAAAGAACTGCAACCTCTGAGAGTACTCCTCGATCACCCCATTATAGGTTTTGGAAAAATTAATTTCATGAAGCCTTTTTTAAATTAAGTTTTTGAAACTTAAAAAACAATTATTACACAGAGGCGAAGTTGCACTTCGCATACACAAGCAAACATTTGACTGATAGAGCTACTGGGAAAAACTGAATGAGTAAAACTTTGAGTCTACAAAACTTCTTAAGTGACACACGCCAATTATGACGCATTAGCAGTACCAGTCAATTTGATATAATAAGAAATTTACCAACTAATATGCCTCAATTTATATAGCAGTAATAACATAAAAAAATGTTAAAATAAAATGAATTTTTTTGAATTCAGTTTTTTTGTGAAAATTACCCCCCACGCCATATTAAGTACAAAAAGATAAATTTTGCTCCTTGTAACAAATCAATTATGGCAAATAAGCTTCCTTCAACCAATTTGGAAGTATTTCTATGACCTATTAAATCTCCGCTTACGCGTTATTAGCGCGTAAAATATCGCGCGTTCACTGTCCCAAATTAGCAATTTTTAAACCCGCCAGGCGTTACAAAAAAGGATTACAGGTGAAATATCTTTCCAAGCTTAAGCTCAAGACAACAATACGTTTTGAATGATACAAAAAAATTCCGTCAAAAACGGCCAGTTAAAAAGTCGAAATTTGTCTGAAAAAATAACTACCCCAAGCACAAATATTCAACTACTTTCGTTACAAAAGTCGAAACAATAATAGTTGGTGTTAATATCCTTAGCATTTGCTGTACTTAATAGCTGGTTATTGATCCAAATGAACATTTTCAAAATGAACACATTTGATTGCAGCAATATTTGCGATTTAGGTTGGAAAAAAAGATAGTTCATACTATAGCACAAGCATTGTTGAGTAAAAACGTGAAGTCTAATTAAGTAAACTGATGTAAGCAGTCGCATTTAAAGAAAAGATTTATAAATTCTGAGACAGGTCCGGCAGCATTTTGTGAAAACTTGTGTAAAAAAAAGAAATTCAAATCTCGGAAACCAAAAGCACTTGAGCAGTCGCATTCGGACGCGCAATTTGCAACCGCTGAGAGTAACCTCACAGTACCCAACTACAGGGTTGGGAATTTCAATTTTTGGAAATCGGTTTTCTGAAAAAAAATCACTAACATCGTGATATCTCGAAAATTACAATGATTTGAGCAGCCATTATTGGAGGCAAAACTCGCCACCCCTGAGAGTAACCAGACAACGCCTCACTTTAGATCTTGTACCCTGACAACGCCTCAGTAAAAAATCATTGAAAGTTTTTTAAATGACCTAAAAACGCCACATCTCGGAAGCAAAAAGCATTTGACTACTTGCATTCAGATGCAAAATTTGCAATTCCTGAGAGAAGCCTCACAGCACCCTATTAAAGGGTTGAGAATTTCACTTTTTTAAATCTATTTTTGAAAAATAACCAACACACATAAGAAATGTTTCTTGAAAACTACAAGGATTTGATCAGTCATAATTCTAGGCAAAATTCGAAACCACTGAGAACACTCTGCCAGCACCCAACTATAAGGTTGGGAATTTGAAATTTTGTGCATTTTATTAGAATGAAGTTTTTTGAATTTTTTTTAATCATTAAAACCGTCATATTTGGTAAGCTGAAAGAATTTGGGCATTCATAATTGGAGGCCAAACTCGCCACCCCTGGAAAACTCTGAAAGCATCCCACTATTTGGTTACTAATTTGAAACTTGGTGAAATAAACACTGAATTCAAACACGGAAAATCAAACAAAAAAAACTCTTAACCATTGCAATATGCTAAACAGCTTAACTGAAAAAAAAATGGTTCGTTAAACATGCAAAAACTATTTGGAAAACTTGTTGGAAAAGCTTAAGCATTGCGAGATAGTTAAGCCCGCATTTAAATATATACAGTTTAAAAATCATTGATAGATATCATATCGATAACGGACAAAAAGAATGACAAAGAGTTGGAAAAAAGATAGTTCATACTATAACACAAGCATTGTTGTGTAAAAACGTGAAGTCTAATCAAGTAAACTGATGTAAGCAGTCGCATTCAAAGAAAAGATTTATAAATTCTGAGACAGGTCCGGCAGCATTTTGTGAAAACTTGTGTAAAAAAAAGTAATTCAAATCTCGGAAACCAAAAGCACTTGAGCAGTCGCATTCGGACGCGCAATTTGCAACCGCTGAGAGTAACCTCACAGTACCCAACTACAGGGTTGGGAATTTCAATTTTTGGAAATCTGTTTTCTAAAAAAAAATCACTAACATCGTGATATCTCGAAAATTACAAAGATTTGAGCAGCCATTATTGGATGCAAAACTCGCCACCCCTGAGAGTAACCAGACAACGCCTCACTTTAGATCTTGTACCCTGACAACGCCTCAGTAAAAAATCATTGAACGTTTTTTAAATGACCTAAAAATGCCACATCTCGGAAGCAAAACGCATTTGACTACTTGCATTCAGATGCAAAATTTGCAATTCCTGAGAGAAGCCTCACAGCACCCTATTAAAGGGTTGAGAATTTCAATTTTTTAAACTTTTTTTGAAAAATAACCAAAACAAATAAGAAATGTTTCTTGAAAACTACAAGGATTTGATCAGTCATAATTCTAAGCAAAATTCTAAACCACTGAGAATACTCTGCCAGCACCCAACTATAAGGTTGGGAATTTGAAATTTTGTGCATTTTATTAGAATGAAGTTTTTTGAATTTTTTTTAATCATTAAAACAGTCATATTTGGTAAGCTGAAAGAATTTGGGCATTCATAATTGGAGGCCAAACTCGCCACCCCTGGAAAACTCTGAAAGCATCCCACTATTTGGTTACTAATTTGAAACTTGGTGAAATAAACACTGAATTCAAACACGGAAAATCAAACAAAAAAAACTCTTAACCATTGCAATATGCTAAACAGCTTAACTGAAAAAAAAATGGTTCGTTAAACATGCAAAAACTATTTGGAAAACTTGTTGGAAAAGCTTAAACATTGCGAGATAGTTAAGCCCGCATTTAAATATATACAGTTTAAAAATCATTGATAGATATCATATCGATAATGGACAAAAAGAATGACAAAGAGTTGGAAAAAAAGATAGTTCATACTATAACACAAGCATTGTTGTGTAAAAACGTGAAGTCTATTTAAGTAAACTGATGTAAGCAGTCGCATTCAAAGAAAAGATTTATCAATTCTGAGACAGGTCCGGCAGCATTTTGTGAAAACTTGTGTAAAAAAAAGTAATTCAAATCTCGGAAACCAAAAGCACTTGAGCAGTCGCATTCGGACGCGCAATTTGCAACCGCTGAGAGTAACCTCACAGTACCCAACTACAGGGTTGGGAATTTCAATTTTTGGAAATCTGTTTTCTAAAAAAAAATCACTAACATCGTGATATCTCGAAAATTACAAAGATTTGAGCAGCCATTATTGGATGCAAAACTCGCCACCCCTGAGAGTAACCAGACAACGCCTCACTTTAGATCTTGTAACCTGACAACGCCTCAGTAAAAAATCATTGAACGTTTTTTAAATGACCTAAAAATGCCACATCTCGGAAGCAAAAAGCATTTGACTACTTGTATTCAGATGCAAAATTTGCAATTCCTGAGAGAAGCCTCACAGCACCCTATTAAAGGGTTGAGAATTTCAATTTTTTAAACTTTTTTTGAAAAATAACCAAAACACATAAGAAATGTTTCTTGAAAACTACAAGGATTTGATCAGTCATAATTCTAAGCAAAATTCTAAACCACTGAGAATACTCTGTCAGCACCCAACTATAAGGTTGGGAATTTGAAATTTTGTGCATTTTATTAGAATGAAGTTTTTTGAATTTTTTTAATCATTAAAACCGTCATATTTGGTAAGCTGAAAGAATTTGGGCATTCATAATTGGAGACCAAACTCGCCACCCCTGGAAAACTCTGAAAGCATCCCACTATTTGGTTACTAATTTGAAACTTGGTGAAATAAACACTGAATTCAAACACGGAAAATCAAACAAAAAAAACTCTTAACCATTGCAATATGCTGGAATTCAAACACGGAAAATCAAACAAAAAAAACTCTTAACCATTGCAATATGCTAAACAGCTTAACTGAAAAAAAAAATGGTTCGTTAAACATGCAAAAACTATTTGGAAAACTTGTTGGAAAAGCTTAAACATTGCGAGATAGTTAAGCCCGCATTTAAATATATACAGTTTAAAAATCATTGATAGATACCATATCGATAATGGACAAAAAGAATGACAAAGAGCACAAATAATTGTTAAAACAAATTATTAATCCCCGTTTTTGAAATGCCAACCCTGTTCGACGCCGCCCTCGTCCTCGGCACTGAAAAAGTCGAGCGTGGCCGTTTTGCCCACTGCTGAGGCATTCCAATACTCGTCGTCCTCCAACATCTTTTACACAATCATAAATCAAATATCTGAAACTCGATCGACTTTCCAAAGCGTAGACTCGCAGGCTTCAAAATAATTAGAACTTTACTCAAAAATTAGCACCACAACAAAAGCAAACAACTGCTGAAAGCAAGATAGCAGATCTTGCAGAGAAGCAAACCAAATCATTAATGACCTAAGCCATTCATTGTCTTCCTTTCAGCAAATCACTATTCAAATTTGCACTTTTTAAGATAATTTTAAATTCATTTGCTGAAAGGAAGACAATATGTATGATTGCACTTCTGTACTTACGAGGGCATTCTAAGACTTTTTCGTGAAAACAAAAAGAAATGAGCACGACCTATTTAAGTATCTTCACTAACTACGTTCTTTGAAACTTATCAAGAGAAGCTGGTCACTGTTTAATGATTTTCTTGTAATCTGGCTGTTTAATTGCATGTAAAGCTTTTACAATACGACACAAAAATAAAACTCAAGTAGAAAAAAAATGAAAAATGATGAAAAGGTGTCAGGGCAAAAGATACCATAACAAAAGCTCCCATGACAAAAGATACCGTACCAAAAGATCCCTTGTACAAAAATCGCCCATACCATAAAATCCCAAGCCAATTAAAAAGATCCCCTGATTTATGAACAGAAATCATGATTAAAGTGTAAGCATAAAAATCTACAGAAATGATATCTCAATTAGGTTCGCGCTATTAAAAAACAATTCAAGTTTAAGATAACTAATTTTAAACTGGACTCGTTTTTGGGATTAACATAGTGCCCACATGTGTTTAATTTAGTGTTAGTACGGCATTGAATTAGAACAAGTCAATTTAAAATGTATACACTCTGCATTCACTATCTCACTGTTTAACTCATTGAATAGTCAAAAATGAATTCTTTCACTTGGGGAACCTCACAAAAAGGCCAAACACTGATTAATCTTGACGGCCATGAATTTCAAAAGAAACGCGATACGAAGACAACGACACACTGGCACTGCAGCAAATGGAGATCTTATAAATGCCCAAAAACTTAAATCAGTTCCCGAAAACTTAAATCACTTCTGGGAGCGATATGATCTCACACAGCAACGAGCGTAGTCATGAGCTCAACGCAGGACGCTCAGAAACTCGGCAACTAGTTCAGCAAATGAAGGAGAGTTAGGAATCAATTAAATCCAGCAAACAGCCAGATAATTGCAGCTAGTTTGCAATTGGTGCAGGACGACAAAGCAACCCAACTGTCTTGGCCCTCCCAGTCGGCGCTAACGCGAACTTTAAACAGAAGTAAACAACTGACATCCCTGCTCACTATTGCCACAGGTGACCGTCATTTCGAAATACCCCATCGTTTTAAGCAATTTAGTCTTTTTGATAGCGGAAAACAAGATACGGAACGCATATTAATTTTTGGCGACATTGAGAACCTCAATGCACTTAAATTGTACAACAAAACCTGGCTTGTAGACGGTACTTTCAAAATTTTCCCCAGTCAGTTTTACCAGCTGTACACTGTACACATGCAGATTGATGGGTTTTATCCACCTTGCATCTACGCTCTGCTCAGCAATACGCGCTCAACCTATAACAAATTCCTAACCGTACTTGAATCGCTTATCGGTGATTTGATTGGCCGAAAAACACTTTTTCCTTTTCCTCTATGGAACCATTATCACAATGCTGTGTGGTCTAGCCCGAACCACAAATGCAGCTGAAAGGTGGCCTTTAGGTGTAATCGCTTTGTTTCAAGGCAGCCATCTTTCAATATATGCGTTTCTCGAAAAAACTCAACTGGATTCCTACAATCAAAAGTTCAACATTTTGAAGGCATCCAGCGGCACTATCAACTTATCCCGGAAGAAGTACCGTGATCTGAATGAAAAAGTTCAACAGATAACAAGTTCATACACAGACTCTAACTTGTTGTCTTATATCCGTTCACTTGCCCATTTAACCAATAAAATTTTGTTTTAGTTTTAATTTAAGGTTGTTTGATCAACTTTTTTATAGACGTCTCCTTGCACCCTACCGGAGAACGCCGAAACGCAATACTACGACTCGCATTCGAAAAAGCTGTCTCTACCAATTTGATCCCAGAGCAATCGCTCTTATTTACGGGACGCTAGGTTGGGGGAGGGGCCTGACGGCCCTTTGAGTATTGCGCCTAGCGATAAAAAGTTGACCAAAATTGAGAATTGATATTTTTTATCAAATAGAATGGCAAGTGATTCGTAATGAAAATGATTGCAAAGCTTTAAAATTTTGCAAAAACTCTATTTCAATTTTGTACGGACTAGAGCTGTCTGGGAAGTCAGGCCATTCGTGGCAAAGTTGGTTTTGATTAATTGGAAATCCTTTTCAAGTTCAATTGTAGTCTAAGCTGTTTTGAAGTTTGAGTTTCATTTTGAAGGCCAAGTGATTAGCATGGTCATTTATGTTCGAAATTTTTGCAGCAAAAATTTTGCCGTTTCTTTGATTTTAACCGACGCTTTGTTTTTGCTTTGATCAATTAACCGCTTTTTTTTTCAATTCCCAGGTTCTTTGTGTTTTTTATAGGTTCTTCGTGTTTTTTATAGTAATTTATGTCGTTGGCGATTTTAGAACGAGGTATCTTTTGGAATGGTATCTTATTGACTGGTATTTTCTCGTTTGGGATCTTAAGGTAAGGGGTACATCTTTTGTCATGTAACCGATGAAAAAACTAGGTATGCCTAAATTTAAGATTGAAGTCTTGCTAGAATTTCCTCTTAGGCAAAGATACCAGACATTTAAATATTAAAATAGCAGCAGAACGAAACTTACGACGAGGGAAAAAGTCCCCCCTGAAACTACATCGAACAACACTTGCACTTGCAACTACAATGAACTACAAAGTCCGACGATTGAATTTTTACTGCAAAATGCCAATTGCAAATATGATGAAAAAACAACTCGAACCTCTGTCCTTAAGGTGCAAGAGGACAACGTTAGCTCTAGGCCAAGTAGGAACGAACCTTAAAGTTTCTAAACTTCAATAATACAGCAAGTAATAAAAGCAAGTAAGATTTGTAAGAAAAGTTGTTAATGGGAAAAAAGCCTAGTTCCCGATTACAAAAAACACTTAAAAACTGACAAATCAAATTATATAACTAACTCTAAACGCTTATTGATAATTCTGATAAGTTTTTAATAGTCAGAACAACATTAATCTTTTGAGGACAGATAAGAGGAGTAGAATTAAGATCAATATTAGACCAAGGAGTTGTATGAACCTTTCCGGCCGAAAAAACATTGCGTGACAAACAGATGAGCACGCATTTCATAACAGATCCATCTTATCTTACGGGGTGATTACCTCATGTGCCAATTATCATTTCAAGTAGTAAGATAACAATTTTTTAAAATAAACCAAAAATCGAAAAGATACGATAAAAATAGTTTAAAGCTAAATAGTTTAAAACTTATGATCTAGAAAGGGACAAGAATTACACGGAAACATGTGGACTTGTAAAACGATGCATGCAAGCTGGCTTATGTAAGACAAGTTGATTACCGGAAAAAGACAATGATCTGTTTTGATAACGCTTGATAATCGCGAGCGTAACGATTGAATCTTTTTCTACTCATCTGTCAAACTTTGAAAGAACTAAGCAAAATTTTATTCCACTGCAAGTCAAAAACAATATCTTTTTTAAACAAAATCAATTGATATAAGCAAAATCAAGTCAATAAAAACATTTAAACCAAAATCAAGTTAAAAAAAAAACAAATCGATTTTTTGCGCCATTCGCATTTTTGCTTTAGGCGAGGGATAGTGTTATTTGGTTTGCATAAGCACAAAAAAAATTAAGTCATTTCAACAAAAAACAAACCACAAAGAAAAAAATCTTATGAGTTAACAATATTCGAACTTCGCGGAAAATTAAAACAATAACATAGCCAATAGAGAGTTGGAAAGAGTCGATGAACACCAAGATACACAAAAAAACTACTTTTTTTGGAAAAACATCAACTTTTGCATTTGAAAGTAGAAAAAAATACATGGCTTTAAAGATCTTTGAATTTCGAGAACAAAATATGATTGACACTTTTTTGATGACGTTGACTCATTGTGAGAAAACTGGATCAAGAGGTACACTTTTTATTCCGCCGGGAAATTTAGACTATTGCTGTTCAATAGTGCGATTTACCTTCTTTTAAACAATGAAAACGAAATGAACTTAATAACAAACACTCAGATCGCGAAAAATCAATTAGGATCGCGAAAAATCAAATGAACAAATATTAAACTTTTACTAAGAAACCAAAAAAATATCACGACCTATATAAAAGTCTTCATTACATTAATCGACACTCAAAAAAGACTCAAATAAATCTGTTGACTTCGTTCATTGGCAAATTAAGTTAGTTTAGGCACAAAAATAAAATCTTGGTTTTTGAGTAAATTTTTGTGCTTAGGCGAACTTAATTTGCCAAAGGTATTTGAGTCTGCTGGAAGAATTAAAATGGAATTTTTAAACAACCGAAGAACACTTCAACAACAATTCACAAGCTATTTTCGCTTTCAGTTTGAAAATCGCAATTCAATGACAAAAGTTCACAACAACAAGCGCAAGCGCAATAAGCAAAACAACAATGACTTCATATGTGCAACGTTATACACTCAGGTAACCTTTAGTTTTTTAATTTTCAATGAGCAAGCTGATGGGATTGAAAAACTCTGACAAACACGTGAAGATAGCAATTTGCACACATTATTTAACACTTATCCATAAGCAGACGCTCATGTTTAAATCAGAAGGGGTGTTTGCTGTGCAACTAGCACAGAACGTTCCTACCTCAATGAACTGAAACATCTGGACAAAGTTCCACTCATGGACGAAACTACACTTCGCAGAATCAAACTAGAAGGCGGCAAGAAGGCTAAGAAATTAAACTTTTCCTATGTGCCGAAATCTAGCTGCCGACCTATAGATTACGAGTCTTATGCCCTCGCATCTGCACCATGGTCAATTTAAAACAATAACAACCAATAAAGCCAATAGAACAAATTTCATTATATTGCACGTTCGATGCAGCAAAAATTCCACCAAATGAGCACATTTATTTGCAAATATAGCAAAAAAAGTAGAATCATATTAAAACACTTAAGTAAAAATTAACAAAAAAAAAATCTTTTCTTTCTTTTCTTTACTAACTAAGGACGACTAAATTAGGGAAAAATGAGAAAAACACAGAGGCGAAGATTGGGATACCACACACACACATACACAGCCTTCTTAGCAGACTAAAAATAAAAGGAAAATCACTAAGAAAAGTTGAAAAAGAATTCGAAAAAAAACAACTGCAAAATTTCTAAATTCTGCCTAGAATGATGTTCAATTTGAAAACAACACAGCAGGAATTAATTTCAAAGGCGTTGAACAAGTATTCAGAAATATGTATCGAGCGGCAACTAAGTCGAAAACAGTTGGGTAAACTCCCGTCTATCTATTTACCGTTCAAAAGACGCAAATCACTTAGCCGATTAAAACGTAAGCCAAAACAGTTAGGGCCAAGCAAAACTGAGCAAAAAATTATTTCGAAAAAAAAATCAGAGTTACAAATTATATGACACAAATCAAAACACTTTCAGTTAAGATGAAAATTGCTTACCGCGCAAAAATATCCGTGATGTATCAAATAAGCCGACAAAAAAGGAGAAAAACAATAACAAGACCAGTTTATTTGAAACGAAATATCCTTCGTTTGAAACACAGCAGGTCCCTGCCAGATTCAGATCTAAGACCTTTCACGTGTCAGGGGTAGTCGCCACCTCCAGACTAAAAATGGCGGACAAAATAACAAATTTGAATTTATTATAAGCCAAGATATCTGTTGATTCGTCTGATTTTGTTAAACAAATTTTAAATCTGAAAAAATCTATACCCCGATATGATGACGGTTGCTAATCGCATGCGTATTATTAGCAAAAATAACGAAAAAATATGGAAGAATAAAATTGCGAGGCCAGCCGTTCATCAAATTTTGTCCAATTTAGCATCAAAACTAATCAGACCAGCTAATCTCTAGTCTTGATTTTTTGAATCTGGAATCTGAATTACGACCTCCAATATGATATCACACTTGACCCCAAACAAGCTTTCCTCGGGGTACCTAAAATATGGCGAAAGACATAGTTCATTCCCACCCCCTTTAGGAGGGTTGCTCGGAACAAAAAATAGGGTGTTTGTGAAAACTCAGAAGTGCTCGGCAAATTAATTTCATCCATGCCAAAATTTTATTACTTTATCCCAATTGATACTTTTTTCTATATCAATTTTTGGTCGACAATCCTAAACATAGCCAATTGAAGATTGGAAATAAGTAATGAACGTAAGTAAACATAGAAAACACTGACTTTCTAGAAAAAATCTCAACTTTCGAATCTCAAAGGAAAAAGGAGATGTCCTTAAATCTCTTTGAATTTCTAGAACGATTTATGACTAGCGCTGTTTTGATAACATTAACCCAACTTGAGAAAACTGGATCTACAGGTAAAGTTTTTATTCCACTAGAAACCTAAAAAATTAAACTCCCCTTTCGAAATCAGAAATCGTTCACGTTTCTTCGCGCCATTTCCACGTTCGTATTTGGAGAGAGCTATTGACGTCAGCTTCAGCAGAAGAATTTCAATTGAACTCAAGAAGTGCATATTTACCTAAGAGCATTCATAAATGCATCAATATGTAGGAATGAACATCTATAGTTATTAGAGACTTTTAAGACTTTTCGTTCTACTACGTTCATTACTCTTAAAAATTCAAACAAGCGCTCATGCAAACAATCTTAACTCTTTCTTTCCTCATCGAATGATGCTAAGAACCGAAATGATTGCGTACTTCAAATAGTTACAAAAAATATTAATTCTGCTAACTGGTAAGAAAGACAATTCAAACAAGCGTTGTCGAGGTAAAGAAATACGACAGTTCAGTTCGAGTTTTAATTTGATTTACTCCGCTATCATTACCCCGCAATTCGTATCGGCCACATTAGTCGGCCGCTTGCTACATTTCTGACTAGACTTATTCGGGTCTACATTGCCAAAAACAGGCTCTGTGCTATTCGTATTCAGAACATTATTTGGAAAGAGAGACCTTGACACACGACTGCTTGTTAATTCCGAAGTTGGTTTGGCTTCTAGCTTCGAAAAACAAATCCACTGGTTGAAATGATTCTGTTTGTACAATTTCACGCTTCCGTCGCCTTGAGAAGCTGCAAAAATAGTACCGAGTGCGTTCCATCCCAATCTGTAGCAAATATCCGCCGTCAAACTACCCGAAACACTGCCCGAATTTACGACCGTCTGGGAGCTGAACTGGTACTTGGAAGCAGCAGCCTCGTTTATATTGAATTCTGTCGAATCATTAGCTGAGCTTTGAAACTGTGACGCAAAAGGAAGTTCTATCTTAATCACTCGTATTTGATTCGTAGCGACTGCCAATGTATGATACCTTCTTCCAACAGAAGGAGCAAAAGCTACTTCGTAAACTGCGGTCGGAGCATGTATCTCGATACAGGAGTCTTGGATTCTGCGCCAAATCAGTTCCTTTCCTGATTCTGGGTTGGCCGAATGAATCAGCTCAAACAGACCAAATCTCTCAGTCTTTTCGGACAGAGTGCCGCCATTAGCACCAACTGCCAAAAGAGTGGGAAGTGTGATTGGCGTACTCCACGATATTGATGTAAGAGTGCAACTTTTCAAGTGCTTTATTTTCGAATGATGAACCCACACTGTAAGATTCCATGGTGAGGTCGCCTAAAAAAATTAATTGAATTGATAACACACAAATCTCGCATCATGGTCCAAGCTGCAAATCGCAAACACAGACAAAAATCGAATCGACGAAAAGATAAAAGGTAACTGTATTCTATTTACGCTAACTTAGCCCTGACGCGCACGAGGTTAACAGAGACTCTTGTTAGCGAACTAACTAATCAATTGATATTTTAGAAGGGCACAACAAACAATAATGTTAATTCTCGAATAAGCACTGTAAACTATTAATGCCAACTTAGACCTGATAGGCATGATGCTGAAAGGGACTTATGTTAGCAAACTAAGTAATCAAATGATAAAGAAAAAGTGCAGGTGAGAAACAACGCTGCTATTCCTCGAACATGCACTGTAATCTATTTACGCTAATTTAGCCCTGATAAGAATGATGCTAATAGGGACTCTTGTTAGCAATTTTAGTAGAAAAGAGATAAAGAAAACGGCAGGTGAAGAAACAAGAATAATACTTACCGAATATGCACTGTATACTAATTACGCTAACTTAGCCCTGTGAGCATGAAGCTAAACGGGACTCTTCTTAGCGAACTGAATTATCAAAAAATAATGTAAAGGTAGAGGCAAAGAAGCAACGATGTTGTTTCTCGAACATCCAGTGTAATCTATTTACGTTAAAATGGCCCTGATAAGCATGAAACTAAAAAGCAGTGTTACTTCTCGAATATGCACTGTATACTATTTACGCTAAATTAGGCCTTATAAGCATGATGCTTACAGGGACTCTAGTTAGCGAACTAAGTAATAAATCGATAATGTGAAAGGGCAAGTGAAGAAACAACACTGTTATTTCTCGAACATGCACTGTAATCTATATACGCTAACTTAGCCCTGTTAGCATGAAGCTAAAAGGGACTCTTGTTGGCGAACTAAACTATCAAATGATAAGGTAAAGTTAGAGGCAAAGAAGCAACGGTGTTGTTTCTCGAACATCCAGTGTAATTTATTTACGTTAAGATATCCCTGATCAGCATGATACTAAAAAGACTCTTGTTAGCGAACTAAGTAATCAATTGATAACGTAAAAAGGCAGGTGAAGAAACAACAGTGTTCTTTCTCGAAAATGCACTGTATACTATTTAAACTAACTTAGCCCTGATAAGCGTGAAGATAAAAGGGACTCTTGCTAGCGAACTAAAATATCAAATGATAATGTAAAGCTAGAGGCAAAGAAGCAAAGGTGTTGTTTCTCGAACATCCAGTGTTTTCTAGTTATGTTAATCGAGCCCTGATAAGCATAATCCTAAATAGGCTCTTGTTAGCGACCAAAGTTATGAATTGATATCGTAAAAGAGCAGGTGAGGAAACAGCAGTGTTATTTCTCGAATAAGCAGTGTAATCTATATACACTAACTTAGCCCTGATATACATGAAGCTAAAAGGGACTCTTGTTATCGAACTGAATTATCAAATGATAATGTAAGGTTAGAGGCAAAGAAGCAACGGTGTTGTTTCTCGAACATCCAGTGTAATTTATTAACGTTAAAATAGCCCTGATAAGCATGATACTAAAAAGACTCTTGTTAGCGAATTAAGTAATCAATTGATAACGTAAAAAAGCAGGTGAAGAAACAGCAGTGTTCTTTCTCGAAAATGCACTGTATACTATTTAAACTAACTTAGCCCTGATAAGCATGAAGATAAAAGGGACTCTTGCTAGCGAACTAAATTATCAAATGATAATGTAAAGCTAGAGGCAAAGAAGCAAAGGTGTTGTTTCTCGAACATCCAGTGTTTTCTAGTTATGTTAATCGAGCCCTGATAAGCATGATCCTAAATAGGCTCTTGTTAGCGACCAAAGTTATGAATTGATATCGTAAAAGAGCAGGTGAAGAAACAGCAGTGTTTTTTCTCGAATAAGCAGTGTAATCTATATACACTAACTTAGCCCTGATATACATGAAGCTAAAAGGGACTCTTGTTATCGAACTAAATTATCAAATGATAATGTAAAGTTAGAGGCAAAGAAGCAACGGTGTTGTTTCTCGAACATCCAGTGTAATTTATTAACGTTAAAATAGCCCTGATAAGCATGATACTAAAAAGACTCTTGTTAGCGAATTAAGTAATCAATTGATAACGTAAAAAAGCAGGTGAAGAAACAGCAGTGTTCTTATCGAAAATGCACTGTATACTATTTAAACTAACTTAGCCCTGATAAGCATGAAGATAAAAGGGACTCTTGCTAGCGAACTAAATTATCAAATGATAATGTAAAGCTAGAGGCAGAGAAGCAAAGGTGTTGTTTCTCGAACATCCAGTGTATTCTAGTTATGTTAATCGAGCCCTGATAAGCATGATCCTAAAAAGGGCTCTTGTTAGCGACATAAGTTATGAATTGATATCGTAAAAGGGCAGGTGAAGAAACAGCAGTGTTATTTCTCGAATAAGCAGTGTAATCTATATACACTAACTTAGCCCTGATATACATGAAGCTAAAAGGGACTCTTGTTATCGAACTAAATTATCAAATGATAAGGAAAAGAAAGAGGCAAAGAAGCAACGATGTTGTTTTTCGAAAACCCAGTGTAATTCATTTACGTTCAAATAGCCCTGATAAGCATGATACTAAAAAGGACTCCTGCTAGCGAACTAAGTAATGAACTGATAACCTAGAGGCAGGTGAAGAAACAACAGTGTTATTTCTCGAATATGCACTGTAACTATTTACGCTAACTTAGCCCTGATAAGCATGATGCTAAAAAGGACTCTAGTTAGCGAACTAAATAATCAATCGAAAACGCAAAAAGGCAGAAGAAGAAACAACAGTGTTATTTCTCGAATATGCACTGTATATTATTTTTGCTAACTTAGCCCTGATAAGCATGAAGATAAAAGGAACTCTTGCTAGCGAACTAAATTATCAAATGATAATGTAAAATTAGAGGCAAAGAAGCAAAGGTGTTGTTTCTCGATTATCCAATGTATTCTTTTTATGTTAATCTAGACCTGATGAGCATGGTTCTAAAAAGACTCTTGTTAGCGACCTCAGTAACCAATCAATAATGCAAAAGGACAGGTGAAGAAACCACAATGTTATTTCTAGAATATGCACTGTTTTCTATACACGCTAACTCAGCCGTGATAGGCGTGAAGCTAAAAAGGATTCTTGTTAGCGAACCAAATTATCAAATGATAATGTAAAGGTAGAGGCAAAGAAGCAACGGTGTTGTTTCTCGAAAATCCAGTGTAATTTATTTACACTAAAATAGCACTGATAAGCGTGATACTAAAAAGGACTCCTGTTAGCGAACTGAGTAATCAATTGATTATGTAAAGAGGCAGGTGAAGAAACAACAGTGTTATTTCTCGAATATGCACTGTATACTACTTACGCTAACTTAGCCCTTATAAGCATGATGCTAAAAGGGACTCTAGTTAGCGAACTAAGTAATCAACCGATAATGCAAAAGGGCAGGTGGAGAAACAACAGTGTTATTTCTCGAATATGCATTGCATACTATTTACGCTAACTCAGCCCTGACAAGCATGATGCTAGAAGGGACTCTAGTTAGCGAACTAAGTAATCAATCGATAAGCGAAAGGCAGAAGAAGAAACCACAATAGTTTTTTCTCGAATACGCACTGTATTCTATATACGCTAACTTAGCCCTGATAGGCGTGAAGCTAAAAGGGACTCTTGCTAGCGAACTAAATTATCAAATGATAACGTAAGGTAGAGGCAAAGAAGCAACGGTGTTGTTTCTCGAAAATCCATTGTAATTTCTTTACATTAAAATAGCCCTGATAAGCATGATACTAAAAAGGATTCTTGTTAGCGAACTAAGTAATCAATTGATAACATAAAAAGGCACGTGAAGAAACAACAGTATTATTTCTTGAATATGCACTGCATACTATTTACGCCAACTTAGCCCTAACAAGAATGATGCTAACAGGGACTCTAGTAAACGGCCTAAGTAATCAATTGATAACGTAAGAGGGCAGGTGAAGAAACAACAGTCTTAATTCTCGAATCTGTACTGTATACTATTTTTGCTAATTTAGCCCTGATAAGAATGATGCTTACAGGGACTCTAGTTAGCGAACTAAGTGAACAATCGATAACGTAAAAGAGCAGGTGAAGAAAAAACAATGTTATTTCTCGAATATGCACTGTAATCTACATAGGCTAACTCAGCCCTGTTAGCATGAAGCTAAAAAGGATTCTTGTTAGCGAACCAAATTATCAAATGATAATGTAAAGGTAGAGGCAAAGAAGCAACGGTGTTGTTTCTCGAAAATCCAGTGTAATTTATTTACACTAAAATAGCACTGATAAGCGTGATACTAAAAAGGACTCCTGTTAGCGAACTGAGTAATCAATTGATTATGTAAAGAGGCAGGTGAAGAAACAACAGTGTTATTTCTCGAATATGCACTGTATACTACTTACGCTAACTTAGCCCTTATAAGCATGATGCTAAAAGGGACTCTAGTTAGCGAACTAAATAATCAACCGATAATGCAAAAGGGCAGGTGGAGAAACAACAGTGTTATTTCTCGAATATGCATTGCATACTATTTACGCTAACTCAGCCCTGACAAGCATGATGCTAGAAGGGACTCTAGTTAGCGAACTAAGTAATCAATCGATAAGCGAAAGGCAGAAGAAGAAACCACAATAGTTTTTTCTCGAATAAGCACTGTATTCTATATACGCTAACTTAGCCCTGATAGGCGTGAAGCTAAAAGGGACTCTTGCTAGCGAACTAAATTATCAAATGATAAGGTAAAGGTAGAGGCATAGAAGCAACGGTGTTGTTTCTGGAACATCCAAAAAATTTATTTACGTTAAAATAGCCCTGATAAGCATGATACTAAAAATGACTCTTGTTAGCGAACGAAGTAATCGATTGATAACGTAAAGAGGCAGGTGAAGAAACAACGGTGTTATTTCTCGAATATGCACTGTAAACTATTTACGCTAAATTAGCCCTGATGAGCATGATGCTTAACGGGACTCT